TAGCCTCTGGAAATAGATGCAGTATTCATTATCTGAGTCATTTTTGATGTATCATTGCAAACCATATGAATGCAACCTGTTTGAGTGAAAGATGTACAGGCAGTCCAATGCTTGCCTGAAAATGAACATTATTATGACCTGCTGCAAATACTGTTTAGAAATTCAGCTGCTCGTGCAAATATCAAATGCAACGTTGTTAATGTAAACTGCCTTTGTAAATGCTGTCAAGTAAGTCTCATTTAAAGTGGTTAATGTTTGAATTATACTCTTTTTGCTTGAAACAGTCTGCAGCCCTTGTGAGTGCCTCTGAATTGATGGCATGATTCAAAGTATTGAATTTTTGAATGTAGATGAAGGGAATCTGTGTCCTATAAATGTCAGTCTATACATAGTGCTAAAACCATCAAATGAAATGTTTTGGACGTTGGCACATAGGTTTGTTAAACAGGTGAAATCGTTTGATACTATGATCTTGCACTTTTCCTGTTTTGTTTCAATAGCACTTTGTTTTTGAGTAGTTTATGTTGTATGTTTTCTAATGATGTAGATTTTATTATTTAATCTTAAGTTTTTGTTGTTACTGATGTTATTAATTTTAAAACGAAGCCAAACTAACATGTTGACACATTTATATGCTGAAGCAGCACTCATTTGAAGTCATGTAGTGAAATATTGTGTTGTTCCTGTAATCTTTTCTAAATCACATTTGGACATCAGTGACTACAGTAAAGGCTGGTGGGACAAGTCTGAATAAATAACCCTGATATCCACCAGTGTGAGATGTAACATTATGCAACAATATGATTAGGATAAAAAAGTGGGGTTTGAAATGGATTTTTTATTCAACACTGACTTTTCAATATAACTGGTGTGTGTTTGCATGTGTATTACAATAGCATCATGATAATAAAACTGAATAACGTGCACGTGTGTGTGTGTGTGTTTACTCATGTTTGTTAATGTCAGACTCAGACCTAGTAATTTGCCATAAGATTGAACTTGAAAATGTAAAAACATTTAGAGACGCCCCTCAGTTTGTTTTTCTCTTCCAAGACCTATATATAGGCATACTTAAATTAAAAGAAAACATTAAAAAAAGCTATAACATATTTCCTTGATGTTACAACTAACCCGAGACTGAACTAGCTCACCTTACAGCTAACAGCCAACATTAGCACTAACAACTTGCATGGAAAATATCTACACAAGATACATAATTACAATAAACATAATTTAAAGTCCCCATGAAATCAAAATGTAAGTTTTTTGGGTGTTAGTATCAATATGTTAGTCTTAGGTTATCTATAAGGCAGTGTGCTCCAAAACAGTGACACAATTCGCATTTAGAAGATATAAGCATTCAAAGCTTGCAGTTCGTCACTTCTGCCAAAACGGCTCAACGATTTTTTTGACGTCACATCGTACTTCAGCTTCTCATCAAACTTTCTGTCCAATCAAATGCTCTCTAGAATCCGAAGCGCCCGCCCCCTACACTATAAAATAGACGCTGAAGCCGCGGCTGAAATCGGTCACTTGTCCATAGAATTAGTATTTTCTGTACAGTGAATGGCACGCAGTGCACCCATACTAAGGTTACCTGACGCAAAAAGTTGAATGCCACCGGCATTTATCGATACTAAGGTGTGTTTTATTGTACGATTTTTTTTGCTGTTAAATTAACAAAATCACTGGTAAATATGCATTGAGTAGGATAGAACTATTTTCCTGCTCATCTGGACACGCAAATGTTGACAGAAGTTTAGACGGAACTAATCAAGTTTAGACTTCCCTAATGCTCGGGAAGTCGTGGCCTAATTCAGTTGACAACAGCCGGTCACTGGCAGTCCCTAATGAAAATTAACCATGGTTTTACTAAAGTGACCATAGTTCAACTGTAGTATTTATAGATTTGAGTCTAATAAGTTACGATTAAGGCATATTGAATGTCAAAATGTGTTTTAAACAAAGTTAAGTGCTTATCATTACCCATTTTACTCTTAGTAATTTAATAATTTAATATATTTCATAATGTAAAAGTTTAGTTCAGAAGTATCGAATCGATATCGACGATACTGCCTTGAAAAATATCGGTATCGTATCGAAAACAAAATAAGTGGTATCGCCCATCCCTACTCTGAACGGCTCTAGCCCAAGCTGTGATATAAACGAACGCTATTGGCTATTTTAAAAAGGGGCGGGGCTGCTTGATATGTCCCGCCCTGTCTTCCTGTTTCAGTTAAAATGACGTCAACACATAGCGTAACTCTGCGTGTTTCTAAGCATTTCAGGGGACCTTAACTTTGATGAGTTTAACTACAAAGCAGGGACTGCCATCACAAAAATAAATGAAGCATAAAAAGTTACTTTTTTTAACCTCAAAATTAGTTTTTCTCCTCTAAAACCTGCTGTGTCTGCCACAGGGCTCTACTTCCTCACATATGGAATAAGGACAAAACTGAGAATGTGTGAAGTGAATTATAGGTGATTTGTAACTTGTTCCTTATTTGGGAAGCTGGATGTGTTACAACCTTCCCCGGTCTCCCCCTCTCTCTCTCTCTTAGTTATAATTTGACATTTTTAACATAGCCAGATATTATAAAAACAATTAATTAAAATACATTAAAAGTGGCAATGTGAAGACTATTCAAAAGTTCACTTCCCCTGTTTTCTCTGCATTATTCCGGATGTTCCTAAATTCGTTAAACCACCTGTTAATAAAGAAGAGAGAGGGAGAAAAAGGAGGGGTAAGACCTGTCTGGACTCAACAGAAAGACAGAGGGTGTTTTCTAACAGTTGCCTGCTTTTGTTTATGCTTCATCACGAATTCCTTTACCCTTGTAGTCCTAACATTCATGTCATTAATTGGGCCTTTAAATCAAGAGAAGCTAATGTATACATTTAAGCATGCATACTTCGCATATAAGTAAGACATATTTAAAACATAATATCAAGAGAGAGAGATGGATACAGAAGGAGGGATTCAGAGAGAATGCGTTGTATATATAAGAATGAGAGAGGGAGAAAAAGGAGGGGTAAGACCTGTCTGGACTCAACAGAAAGACAGAGAGTGTTTTCTAACACCACCTTCAACCGGTGTTGTCATCTTAGCAGTTTTGTTGCTAAATTTAGCAACTTTTCTGACTACCCCAGCAACTTCCTCTTCCAAAGCATGCAACAGATGTAGCTATTTTTTAAATGTATTTGGCAACTTTAAGCAACTTTTGATAAGTGATTCAAACTATAAAAAGGCACACATTTTCCACCTAAATTACACAAAAAAAGGAAACCAAAGATGCCTAGCAGTACACATTATGTGAATTAAGTTAGCTGCTATCTGCAATTGTTTAATAATAATTTAATACTTGTTCATTTATGATACACGTTGTTAGTAGCTTGTACCTGTAATTGTTTTGTTTACTATCTAATAAAAAAAAAACTTTAACTGTAATCGTTCAAAAATGTGTAAGTGTTTAATAATTCAATGTTGTATTTATAATTAGTTATTTATATTTCATTATATATTTCATTTATATTATTTAACAAACAAATCTAAATTCACATTTTTGCATCGTGATTACGTAATAGGCGTCATTTAGCGACTTTTAGCAACAAATCGACCTTTTTTCCCCCTCTATTTCTATGTAATGTAAACCCACTCATTTATTTGTGTTATCTTTTTGGATGTCTTGTTAAAGTTGTAAATGTTGCATGTTATGTCTTTAATGTCTAATAAAAAATAAAAAAAGCAACAAATCGACCTTCTTTTAGCAACTTCACCTGAAAATCCAGTTGGCAAAACTGACCACACCCATCCTAGAAAATATGTTCTACACTCACAGAAACCCAGCACCGAGGAAATATATGTTCCTTTGGACTTCGATGTTGGATGTTCTATAGGCTGGACGCGATGTCAGATCACGGTAAGGTAGAACATTATATTGAGTTTTAAACGCTCAAGTCTTCTCCTTGAGTTTGCACTTTCTGCAGGACTCGAGCATCGCGTCCGTTATATCTTGTTAGCATAAGCATAAGCGAGTGCATTGAAAACAAAACGAGAAAAAAATGTTGTTAACAATAGGTTTTGATTTATTATTTAATAAAGTTACGTCTTACTCTGTCCCCCTTTTTGTTCAGTTCATGTCCTGCGAATAGACTGAACATTTTTTCTTTGGATTGCAACTCACAGGGTATGGAGATTATGCCCACTGTCTTTTTTTTTTAAAGCAGGCTTACATCTGTTTCTGTGTGTGTGTGTGTGTGTGTGTGTG